TAGTTATTTAAATTGTAAAATATTTTCAATTAATTACAAATTTGTTGAATACAGAAGTTTAAGTTAAATTTGTCTAAGTAAATAATAATGAAAATTTATAGTTAAAAGTTTCGTATTAGTTTGTTTATCGAAGATAAAAGTTTCGTGTTGTTTCTTTTATCGAAGAAGAAAGTGTCCTATTATATTTTCATATTTACTGATAATTCCAGCCACAAGGCTTTGGAATGGAGTTATTTTTCAATGAAAGGAAACCCTATTTAATTCGTTGGATTTTCTCTTTCAGCCACAAGGACTGCACACGCTGATTTTGAATAGGAATCCAAAATTGGGAGATCACGGAGTGAGACAATTGATGTGCGCTTTGAAGGCCGACGTTTGGCTGAGATCGTTGAGCTTGAGACACTGTGGGATCACCAAGCATGGAGCAGAGATCGTGATTAAATTGTTGCAAACGAACAATGTGATTACGAAGTTGGATCTCACGGAGAATCATATACCGATTAATACTCTTCAAACGATACTGAGGATAACGAAGAGAAGACGAGACGTGGCGGAAGCTATGGTGCTGAAGAAGAGATTTCGTGTGGATCGAAGACGAAACGCGTCTGAAAATGATATTCGTGGATCTACGAAGAAGGATGAGAAATGTTTTTTAAATCGAACAGTATGTATCCACTTTTGCTTTTTTTTGTAAAGACGCTGCACTGGTAAATTTGTGAAAGTGTGAAAAGTTAATTTTTTGAGAAAGAAGAAAACTACTTTGCACTAATTTTATCCTCCAGTTAAGATTATTACTAATAATAATGCGTCAGGTAGTAAGAAAAAATGAATTTTGTTTTAGGTATGAGAAACACTGCTATGTCAAAATAATATAGTAGACCGAGGCAATTCTGGTCTCTTTTTCTTAAATGCGCAACAGACTTTCTGTCGTGCACTTACGGGTTTCTTTCCTTCACTTCGACTGCGGTTTTCGAAGCGTTAAGACGTACTTCCGCGCCGAAGGATGTAAAATACGTTTAAGAGAATTCGCAGTGAACACCATTTATTTTAACCCATGAATCCAATAAAAAACAATACAAATAGCATAGTTGACGAATAAAATCAGTGCAAAGTTGCAAAATTGCAGAAACTTAATTTTTCAGAAAAGCAGAAAACCACTTTGCACTGATTTTATCCTAAAATTTAAAAAAAAAAACATAAATAGCATAGTTGACGAATAAAATCAGTGCAAAGTTGCAAAATTGCACAAACTCAATTTTTCAGAAAAGCAGAAAACCACTTTACACTGATTTTATCCTAAAATTTAAAAAAAAAACATAAATAGCATAGTTGACGAATAAAATCAGTGCAAAGTTGCAAAATTGCACAAACTCAATTTTTCAGAAAAGCAGAAAACCACTTTGCACTGATTTTATCCTAAAATTTCAAAAAAAAAAAAATACATAAATAGCATATTTGGTGAATAAAATTAGTACAAAGGTGCAAAATTGCACAAATTCAATTTTTCAGAAAAGCAGAAAACCACTTCGCACTGATTTTATCCTAAAATTAAAAAAAAAAGATAGATATAAATAGCATAGTTGACGAATAAAATCAGTGCAAAGTTGCAAAATTGCACAAACTCAATTTTTCAGAAAAGCAGAAAACCACTTTGCACTGATTTTATCCTAAAATTTCAAAAAAAAAATACATAAATAGCATATTTGGTGAATAAAATTAGTGCAAAGTTGCAAAATTGCACAAACTCAATTTTTCAGAAAAGCAGAAACCCACTTTACACTGATTTTATCTTAAAATTTAAAAAAAAAATACATAAATAGCATATTTGGTGAATAAAATTAGTGCAAAGTTGCAAAATTGCATAAATTCAATTTTTCAGAAAAGCAGAAAACCACTTTGCACTGATTTTATCCTAAAATTTCAAAAAAAAATACATAAATAGCATATTTGGTGAATAAAATTAGTACAAAGGTGCAAAATTGTACAAACTCAATTTTTCAGAAAAGCAGAAACCCACTTTACACTGATTTTATCTTAAAATTAAAAAAAAAAAAACATAAATAGCATATTTGGTGAATAAAATTAGTACAAAGTTGCGAAACTGCAAAAATTGTATTTTTCAGAAAAGAAGAAAATCAGTTTGCACTGATTTTATCCTCCAATTAAAATAAATAAATATAAATAGCATAGATAATGGATAAAATGAATGCAAAGGCGATTGATTTTATGACAGATTAACCTTTCCTTCTCCTGAAAAATGAACTTTTCACAATTTCTCCACTTTACCACTGAATCGTCGATAATTCAAACGAAATCCTCAATGTTCTGCACATTTCACACTACAGAAATTTCATTTCGTTCAAGGAGCGGTTCGGCAAATACTCGCTGCACAAATGTCGCCGGAGAAGAAGGACGCAGAAGAAGGCCAAGCCGACCAAAGAGACACGGAGTATCAAAGACGAGGATTCTTATCGAAGAAAGAAACTCTGTGACCTGGAATCGCAGTTACTGAACCTAATCGAGTCCAACTGCAAGTTGAAAGAAGAATTAAGAGGCAACGAAACGTTGCTGAACGAGGAAGCAGAGCAAAGGACGAGAATGGAGGATGATTTGCAGAAAGCTTCGCTTCGGTTGAACGATTTGAGGAGCAAAGTCATCATGTTGAATTGTCTCTCCACAAAGGCTTGCGGTGAAAGTCGATTGTTGAAGGGCCTTAAGTACGTCTTCGACAAATTGGAATCGTTCTCGATATCGAAACAGAACGGTCTCGAGGAGAATGACATTTTGGACAATGCCGAGCCGTTATGGTCGTCACCGTTGGCGCATCAAAGAGGAGACTGTTTCGCCAGTTGCACGCATTGTCCTACGTTGAAGATTGTAACGTTGTGAATTGTTTTCGACAGATGGATTTACCGATATTTGTAAAGATTCTATTTTAATAAAAAGAAGCGACTCGATGTAATTTTGAAGCGAATTTTGAAACCTTGCACACTTGAGAATAAATATTTTTTAAGAGAATTCTATCTTGTTTTAGTATTTTCTATCCCTTTCAACGAATTATTTGGAGATGCAGTATTTTCAAACGGCGGAAATGGATTGAACCGAAGGATAGCAATTTTATAATATTTCTTGGAAAGCAGTTTTTTTGATCAAAACGAGGTTTTTCACAGATTCTAAGAAATTTTTAAATTACAAATTGGTTTTTGAAAAATAGAAATATTCTGACATTTCCGCCTATTTTTGGAAAATCCATTTTTTGATCGAAACGAGGTGTTTCATAGATTCTAAAAAATTTTTAAATAATAAATTGCTTTTTGAAGAATATTATAAATCTTCTGTCTTTTCAATAATGCATTTCTGCCGATTTTATATATTTTGGAGGTCAATTTTTGAATTGAAATGAGATTTTTAATAGTTTCAAAATGGACGATGTTCGTGGAATCCTTTTTTGATAATTAAAAGAACGATGAAGGAATATTTAGAAGGATTATTTTAACTTAGCTTTCGTGGAAAAGCAGCGTCATCTTGTCAGGCAAGCCTGCAATTTCACTCGCACAACATTGCGCTAATTAATTTCCTGCGAATTCAAAAAATGCCTAACTTCTCGATTAACAGTACACATCCACCTTTCCAACGTTACTACCTTCCCAACTCAAGGTAACTCAATTCAAGCCACGATTTTCCGACCTCTGCGAAAGATGGACCAGGCTGATCCTTTCGATCGATGAACGCTTCCTTTGATAGCGCAGAATGTCAACCCTTTCGCTCCATTTCCAGTCTCTCAAAGAAAAGTTTCTTCGTCGATAAGTCAAACTTCCACTTGGAAATGTTCGACTCAATTATGGTTTCTGTCGGACCGATAAATTCCTGTTACAAATGCAAGTGTCTGAAGCAGATATATGGATCCACGTAATTCGAGCATAATTCAATCCTATTTTCCACGATATTCCGTCGAAGTTCCGGAAAGTCACGATTTTCTTCGCCCGTGGGAGTTCCCAGTTTCGCTGACTGTCGTTTATGCTAACTAGGAGAATTCTAATCGGGGATTATAATTGTTAATTCGTTAAATGATCCGTAGTATTCAGGTTGCTCCCTGGTCGCTGCACAGTTTCAAACTTTGACATTCTCGATCGTCTTTGTCTCCCCTTTTGCTCGATAAAAGAGTCGAGACGTGAATCCTTCGAGCAGTCTTGTACTTCGTTGACAAAGGTGAGTGTCCAGGTAGCATCGGTGATACCGGAAATGAGGTCACCGTTTCATCTACTTCTCTTCGAGGCTCTGTTGCTCAACGGTGCTCGTTGTTTTAACTAACTTTACTAATTGACTGACTGGTACTTTCATTTGTAGTTTTTTGAAAAGCTATCGAAAATAGGAAAATGCTAGGGGGAGTAGACTAGAAAAATGGAATGGAATTTGACATTTTGCAGTTGTAAAAACGGTCGATAAAAGGATTAACCGCTGAAAGTACTCTGGATTTGCGTATCTATCACTTACCGTTAATTCGACGTTCCGGTGGATCGCTATCATTGATGGCTGGGAACAGAACATAGAGAGGAGATCGAGAGAGAGAGAGAGAGAGAGAAGAAAGAGAGAATGAGTGCAAGAGAGGAGAGAAGAGGAGATATAGAGAGAAAGAAGGAGAAAAAAATGAGGAGATATATAGAGAGAAGGAGAAAAGGAGAAGAGAGAAAAAAAGGAGAGGTGATGCAGAGAGAAAAAAGGAAAAAGAGAAAAGGAGAAGGAGAAAGAGACACAGAGAGAGAAGGAAAGAAGGAGCAGAGATACAGAAAGAGAGGAAAGAAGAAGCGACGATATAGAAAGAGAGATGGAGAAGAGATACAGAGAGAAGAGAGAAAAGAAGGACAGGAGATACAAGGAGAAAAAGAGAAGAGATACACAGAGAGAAGGAGAAGGAGAAGAGATACAGAGGGAGAAGGAAAAAAGGAGAAGAGATACAGAAAGAGAGGAAAGAAGAAGCGACGATATAGAAAGAGAGATGGAGAAGAGATACAGAGAGAAGAGAGAAAAGAGGGACAGGAGATACAAGAAGAAAAAGAGAAGAAATACACAGAGAGAAGGAGAAGGAGAAGAGATACAGAGGGAGAAGGAAAAAAGGAGAAGAGATACAGAAAGAGAGGAAAGAAGAAGCGACGATATAGAAAGAGAGATGGAGAAGAGATACAGAGAGAAGAGAGAAAAGAGGGACAGGAGATACAAGAAGAAAAAGAGAAGAAATACACAGAGAGATACAGAAGGAGAAGAGATACAGAGGGAGAAGGAAAGAAGGAGAAGAGATACAAAAAGAGAGGAAAGAAGAAGAGATATAGAAAGAGAGAAGGAGAAGAGATACAGAGAGAAGAGAGAAAAGAAGGACAGGAGATACAAGGAGAAAAAGAGAAGAGATACACAGAGAGATACAGAAGGAGAAGAGATACAGAGGGAGAAGGAAAGAAGGAGAAGAGATACAGAAAGAGAGGAAAGAAGAAGAGGAGATATAGAAATAGAGAAGGAGAAGAGATACAGAGAGAAGAGAGAAAAGAAGGACAGGAGATACAAGGAGAAAAAGAGAAGAGATACACAGAGAGAAGAAGAAGGAGAAGAGATACAGAAAGAAAGGAAAGAAGAGAAGAATAGAAAGAGAGAAGGAGAAGAGATACAGAGATAGAGAAACATGGAGATACATCGTGTCGCGCGGGAGAAACACAGGAGCCTCCGGTTACAAGCGGAATCGCGTCGCATCAAAGGTCGAAACGTGAATATTTGGAATGGCATCGGCGACGTCCAAACGCGGTCACCTGCTGCAGTCTTTTCGCGGTTAAATTCTATCTGTCGAACCAGGTTCGTCCAACCTGCTGCACGACGTCACGGGGCCAACGGTGATTAATCCGTTTTATAGATGTTGCCGATGTAAATGAAGTTTCCGGTCGAGTGTTCGCGGCGCAATCGAACGAAACGGGGTTACAGAGAGGGAAGGAGAGAGAAAGAAAGAGGAAAACGAACGTGTGCGGCGTGGTTCAACGGTCGTAAAAAAGACCGAAGCTTTAACCGACCAGCTCACAGTTAAAACCCTCTCCCTCTCTCTCTCTCTCTCTCGTGGAAACAATTAATAATAACCACCCTCGCGCAGCTTTTCCAACGATAAAACTTCGCCCAACCTTCGAAACGTGTAAGATCTTCCGGAAATCGGTGCTCTCGCACCCTCGTTTCTTCTCCCGTTAATACCGAGGGTAGTTCGTTACAGATAACAGGCGGAGAAAATTGCTCCGAGACATAACGAGGCTGTGTTAGGATGTTTAGCTGGGTAATTGGGGGAGATTTAGGTGGTGAAGTTAGCGATCGGATGATTGGGGTGAATCTTCTTTTCGGGGTTGTTTTCGCGATGTGTGAGAGAATTTTCGGGTGGTGATAGAAGGTATCAGATTGGGTAGAGTGAAACGGAGTTTTATGGGAGGAATGAAAATTGTTTTTTAAATGCAAAGAGTATTATCAAACATTGCATGAACTTTAAGTTAACATGAAGAAACTTAGAAATTTTGAATGCTTAAGTTTAATGTTCCGAGGGATCAATTTTCTAACGATTAGAAATTTCATTAATTTCATTCATTTCGGTAATGTTTATTACCAAAAGTCTTTATTGCACATTATTCTTAATATTTTTAGAAGAGGACGTTTTACAGTGCCCTACTTGAGGCAACGGGAATCCCTTCTTTATAATGTTTGTGGTGTCGTATCGGTGCACGAATGCGGGACTTGGATCACGACGAATGGAATGTCTTATACTGAGAAACTAGCGAGAATCCGGAGTACAAGTTTTATTTAATTTATTGGTAAAGTACAAGTCCCGGCATTTGATTCTACAACAGACTCGGCTGATCGTTTTTTGAGCGTATCGTTTGGTGTTCGGAGGAAGACTGCTTGAAAAATTGGAGGAGTACAGAAAATGAGAGTTAAAATCTGGGGGTAGAAAATTGGAACGACAGAAATTCGGTGATTGGTCTTAGGGTATTTGCAAGAGGATAGGGAAAGGGTAAAAGTGGGGATGGAAGGTCGAGGTGGCTAGAGTTTTGGAAAATCCCAGAAGGAGAGGAAAATCGACTAGGTTGCTAATTAGAGGTTAGGTATAATGGGTGGCAAAAAATGTGTTACGCTGCCGTTCGGTACAAGTTTTACGGGGGGTACGTTCGTCTAACGGTCGAGGCTCGGTCAGGGCGGTTTTATGATTTTTTGGGAACCGTTGTTCCGTTCGGAACAGTTTTCATTATTTTGAGGTGGGTGAGGAACGTCGTTACCCTGTTTTCACCTCAATTTATTAAAGTACAAGTGTATGGTCGGCGTACAATTGGTCCAGAAAATACAATCGTTTACTTTGTTAATTGTCCCGGCGGCAGCGGGTACGTCGCGATGGTCGGTAAAGGAACAAACTGTCCGGAGGTGTAGGCGTACTGGGTTTTTATATTGTTAGGATAGGGAGACAGGAGTAGCGATAGATAAAGATAGAAGTGGAGAAAGTGGTGGAAACGGAAAATTCTGGATGGCACATGTGCGCTTCTTAGGCCACTCGAGGACGAAGGCAAGTCTTAACCCGGGGAGAGACAAAAGAACGGAAGGAGTTGCAAAAAAAAAGTTCGCGTGGAAGAATAGAACGAGGTTCGGTAAGGGTTTGTGGACGACGACGTCCCCGCCACAATTTATTTTTCCTTAAAATTGCTATGGAATTCCTTTTATAATAGAAGGTTCCAGAATTATTTTTTCATCTATGTTCATCTTTTATCAACACTGAAATTTACGCGAAACAAAGTACACCTGTGACGCGATTTACACGGATGATCGGTTCCTCAGAATACCGTGTAAATCGAAATCATGGCTTTTTGTATGAAAAACCGTGTAAATCGGGGAGAAAACAAAATGCGCATAATTTAGTCAGTGATTGAATTAAATTCATTATTT